CGTGTGCCCATAGATCGTGATTGAATATCAGAACGGTCATTCGTTATGCTATACATTTTAGACAAATACTGAATCGCTCGTAAATGTTTCTGAAGCAAAATGCAGAACAATGGCCAGAGTAACAACTTGACACACTGTTCTTGGTTCCTGCATTCTTCAATCGAAAGGCATTGAATGAATGTTATCTCTGGTAATGAGAACCTCACGAGGGTATGCGAAACTCTATTATGAGTGACTATTGTCGTATGCCTGAATGAAAACAAAATTTTACCACTTGCTTATAATAAACAGAACTCACACTTTTGGGTATAAGACTCCTTCTCATGTAATAAATGAAACAGTTCAATAAACGGGTAGAATATGTCATAAAAAGTTGCAAACGGGCGAGGAGAAGAGAGCCAGAAAATCCTCAATTAGCTGTTGGTAGCGGCCAGTACATATTTTGAGGATGGACAGTAAAATTCATATACAAATAAATTAATTTTTGACGACTGAGTATAGAACAAATCATGAAAAATTAATTCCCTCTCGGTTTTGTTGCCTCATTAAATTGCAGAGGACCTAGTTGTTGCAAATTGGATGCTAAATCGAAAATGCGGAATCACAAAGGGATGGATGGAGAGATCAAAAGTACGACTTTTTTTAATCGAGGACGGCCAATGCTGCTTCGCTGAAACGCGGTAGTTACTGTAAAAGCTAACAGTCCTCCTCTTCATCTGTGTTTCGAACAACTGAACCTACTTATTGACAAAGAAAAAAACAGAATTAAAATAAACTTAAGAAATTCTATGAGCAGCAGATGTCTGTGTCTCTCTAAGAGAAAAGTCTGTTCCCTCCTAACACGGTTCATCGATTGATGACTTTGATACGTGTTTGACAGTTTCAACGCTCCCGTTCTGACCAGAACGTGGATCTGTAGGGGGGGGCGAGTTTGGTGATTTCTTTTCAGATCTGAGTACGGTTGATGTTATTTGCTCTTTCAGTGAGTTTCAGTGTTCGTAACGAATGTTGCTGAAATGCTCTGACTTTGCACAGGCGTAACGTTCAGCTGTTTCCTGCTCGGTATTGGATTCGTTTTGATATCGTCGAACTCGGCGTTGGCAACATTTGACGAAGTTGTGGACGACCTGAGCGCCGGTGTGCAGCACGTCGAAGACCAGTGCAGAGGCCTTGGGTAATTAATCGTTTGCTGTGCTTGAAATCGTCAGAAACACCGCCTGATTCACTGATTCACTGATTCACTGATTCACCACTGACCCTAGGTGCGATGCATGCAGCTACAACGCACAGTGCGGGTTCTGCTTCGTCGACGACCAGCAAGTGTCGAACTCCGGTGCCTGCGTTCCCATATTCCA